ATGCTAACCTTTTCTGGGAATAGCAGTTCCCTCTCTTTTACATTTGAAGACTGGAACAGGTGAAATATCCCAGAATCCAAAAAGGAAGAGTTCCCTTTCGAGATTTTCTTACAGTTTAATTTTTTTTTAAAGTTCAATTGTGTGAAAATTTCTTTGAATAATGACTCCTCTCAAAATTATAGACAATATCTTTTCGGAATAGTTCAGTTGTCCAAACACATCTTTGAATGATAATGACTCTCCTCAAAATTATGGATAATAATTTTTTAGAATAATTCAATTGTCTGAAAAGCTCTTAGAATAATAACCATTTTTTTTTTTTTAATCATGTCACTTTAAGCAAGGCAATAAAGCTACTAAAATGCAAGTGGTTACTGAGTGTGAAAGAATATGAGAAGAAAAATATTATTAAGGAGAGAGTACAATAAAAGAACAGAAATTAAGATAGAACATAACAATTAATATTACATTAAGATTTTTGAAGATTAAAGTTGACTGGGAAACAAGAAACCAAAAAAGAGTTTTGTAAGCAAGACATTCAAAATATGTTATGGTAACACTTAGCAATTTCAACTGTAAAATGATGAGACCTAGCTGACAATCTAGTATTGTGTTTAGTTGAGGTACTAAAGAGAGAAAAGACTACCCATTTCTAAAAAAAGAAAAAACTAGAAAAAAAATGTTTCCATATCAAGATTAGCTAATGTCTATATTTCTGAGATGAGGTATTATGTACATTATTTACATTATTCGGACTATTGTCCTCATCTTTGTCGCCATATTTATCACACAAGGACACATGGCACAGTGTATAAAGGCATTGGTTAGATCCAGTGACAGGACCCAAAGAGTGTGAGTTCAATACCCGGTTAAGGCAGTGGAGAACTTTCAGAGGGAAATTAGCAGGAGATAACTGATAACTGACATCCATTAAACATGGCATGTGGAACTAGAACAGTCTACCCCAGTGAGTGAAATAAAGGGTTCAGTTCGACATTCTAACTACCTGAAGAAGGCCGGAGCGTACAATGGCCGAAACGTTGTGATAAATATGGCTACAAAGATGAGGACAATAGTCCGAATAATGTAAATAATGTAAGATTAGCTAAATACCTCTCAAAGTCAAATAGAAGTGTATATGTGAGAAGTAAGTTTGACTAATTCACTAAATTGGAGTAGGTGTAGAAAATCAGCATTTGAAGTTTTTGTTTTATTTTTAGTTTGATACCAACCTCTGTCATCAGTGGTGGTAAATACAGGATGTGGTAGAAATACCTCCATCAATGGTAAACATTAGCTACAGGGCATGGCAGAAATACCTCCCACATTTTAAACTGCTACTTGTGTGCTGCTAATGAACTTAGGCAAGTGACACTGGTGTCTTCATCTGGCTAGTATCTTACTCTTATGTGGGAGGTATTTCTGCCACACCCTATATGATTATTTTGGCCAAAAACAGATTACAGGAAGACTGTCTTTTTTAGTCTATAACTTCAGGGGGATAGGTTTGAAACAAAATAACATTTTGTATTTTTTGCAGTTAATCATCCATGCTAATTACGTACTAACTTGCTCATACTAACATCTTCATCTTTATTATTAGTTAATGTTTTTGTTGTTCTTTGCTTAATCTTTCTCAAGGTGTCTGTGTAAACATACACTTGCTGTCCTCATTTAGTCTTTCACCGACTAAACAGCTTCACTCCTTGATATGTTTTGATTTCTGTTTCTGTTGGTGTAAACAAAAACTAGGAGAGGCCAAATGTATTTTCTACAAAAGGTAAAAATACTGCAACGCGAGAAAAGAAAACACTATATAGGTACATGATATATGCTTTATAGGTATTGCCTTGGATAATGCTCACTGACCTAAATAGATTTTGATATGCCAGAAAATTGCTTTTTATAACGGTCTTGTGTAAGCGATATATTAATTTGACAGTTTGATTTTAATAGAATTTTTGTTATTACATAATTTTTCTTTTATTTTCTTATATGGTGAACTCCCTCCCTCTCAATCATTAAAAATACTTCTTTTTTTTTTTTTTTAAATTTCCCATGATTCCATTAATAACAAATCTGGAATTAGAAGATTATGCATCTCAAATTTCACCAAATGGTAAAAGGTGAAAATTTAGATGAACACCTGTAATCTGAAATGTTGGATTTTTTTTTTAAAAAAACAAAAAAAACAATTTTTTTTGTAAAGTGATGGGAAGGAGGAATTAACTTCAGAAATATCATCTAAACGGATATAATCCATTAACTGTGACTGACAAAAAATTTCAGCTGTAATTAACATTATAAAATATGAGGTCAGGCTAAAAACAAAAAAAGAGACATTACTAACTTTATTCATTTTTAAGAGATTCACCTGTCTTCTTTTTATTCTTTGCTTCCTTATGATTTTTGATGTAATTTGTTCTGGCTGATTCTAGAATTAGGTTTAAAGCCTGTTTATATGATGCTTGGATGGAGGCTCATTTTTCATTTAGATACT